GTTGTCACCCCCTTCTCACCCTCTATACGATTCTCCTGCCTCTGTATGCCTGTCCCTCAACCCACCCCCTGGCCTACTCTCTTCAAGTCTGATTCTCCCGCTACTCATCCACCCATCTCTCTCCCGTTTGCTGCCCCCGTTTTCGCCCGCTTCTCTTATACCACCCCCTGCCTCTCTCACTCCTCGTGAAAACCCAAACCATCGACGACCACCATCACCATCATCGTATAGTCACCCACACGCCGCGACAGGCAGCGACGTACAACGTATATACAGCATAGCAGAGCTATCTGTTGTTATCACCAGTTATTTGCATCCCTTCGTAGTCGGTGGGGCGGCCGACGCTCTCTCTCTCCGTCGTTCTCCGATGTGAGAGAGAGAGAGAGAGGGAGAGAATGACGAGTAGCAGATATAGACGGAGGGTGGGTGGGTTTGAAATTCTCGGGAGCTTTACTTCCCGGGAATATTACGCACCCCGCCGCGCGAGCTCTCGCTGCGAGCGCGCGACTCGAGTGATTCCTCATCTCTCGCCCTTTTCTCTTAAACCGCCCGCCTCGCCTCCTACCCTTATCCACCCCCTTCATCGCGCCTCTTTCGCGCGCGTGGAACGACAGATGCGCAACAACGGGGGATAAATCTCGATTAAGCGCGCGTGCTCCAAGACTTCGCCGTTCAAACTGAGATCGCGACACCACGACTGTCAGATTCGCGGAACGAATTTATTATGGAGAATGTATGGGGTGGTTTTTTTTTCTAACTGGGCTAATTATTTTAAGCTCATTCTTACTCTTCGGTTATTTATATACCTTTCGGTCGCGAAGAACATTAGGCATTGCGTCGAAATTTAGGTGAGGATTTAATGAAGGTGTTCCAGGTGGAGATAAAAAAATTCACGAAAGAAATGTCTGTTAAATGTGCATTATTATTATTATTATTATTAGTGATGCACTAAGGATTAATTCACAAGTTTCAGAATTAATAATCAGATTTCGCGAAGAACATTAGCCATTGCGTCGAAATTTAGGTGAGAATTTAATGAAGGTGTTCCAGGTGGAGATAAAAAAATTCACGAAAGAAATGTTTGTTAAATGTGCATTATTATTATTATTATCATTAGTGATGCACTAAGGATTAATTCACAAGGTTCAGAATTAATAATCAGATTTCGCGAAGAACATTAGACATTGCGTCGAAATTTAGGTGAGAATTTAATGAAGGTGTTCCAGGTAGAGATAAAAAAATTCACGAAAGAAATGTCTGTTAAATGTGCATTATTATTATTATTATTATTATTAGTGATGCACTAAGGATTAATTAACAAGTTTCAGAATTAATAATTCACGAAAAACATTAGGCATTGCGTCGAAATTTAGGTGAGAATTTAATGAAGGTGTTCCAGGTGGAGACAAAAAAGTTCACGAAAGAAATGTCTGTTAAATGTGCATTATTATTATTATTATTATTATTAGTGATGCACTAAGGATTAATTCACAAGGTTCAGAATTAATAATCAGATTTCGCGAAGAACATTAGGCATTGCGTCGAAATTTAGGTGAGAATTTAATGAAGGTGTTCCAGGTAGAGATAAAAAAATTCACGAAAGAAATGTCTGTTAAATGTGCTTTATTATTATTATTATTATTATTATTAGTGATGCACTAAGGATTAATTAACAAGTTTCAGAATTAATAATTCACGAAAAACATTAGGCATTGCGTCGAAATTTAGGTGAGAATTTAATGAAGGTGTTCCAGGTGGAGATAAAAAAATTCACGAAAGAAATGTCTGTTAAATGTGCATTATTATTATTATTATCATTAGTGATGCATTAAGGATTGATTCACAAGTTTCAGAATTAATAATTCATGAAGAACATTAGGCATTGCGTCGAAATTTAGGTGAGAATTTAATGAAAGTGTTCCAGATCGAGATAAAAAAATTCACGAAAGAAATGTCCGTTAAATATGCATTATTATTATCATTTCACCCTGCAACTCAGTCGTGATACGCTAAGGATCAATTAACGAGGGTTCAGAATTAATAATCAGATTTCGCGTCCTTGAAAGACAGCATTATTCGATAGCACCGAGCGACAGTGTCCTCGATTTTCGCACATTGTGAGAGACGAGGAAGGCAGGAGGGTGCAGAGATGCTGAAGAGATCCAACTGTAACCGCATTGTACCAAGTATCCTATATCGCTCTCGAATTCCGCCTATATCGAAGGAAGAACAAGGGGGTTCGAGAGAAAGAGGGATGAAGAGGAACGCGATAGGAAGGCATCCGGTCGACTAGGGGGTGGCTAGGGGGTGGAGGGAGAATGCCGAGGAAAGAGCACTGACGACGACGAGTCGGTGTTTAAAATTCCCATGAGGCTTCGCGGTTTTGCGTTCTCTTCATCGCGAGGAAGAAGAAGGCGGCCGACGTTAGGGAACGCGGGGTGACAAGTGGGGGAGGGGGGTGTCGGTGATGGGGTGGTGGTGGTGGTGGTGGTGGTGACGGAGAGAAAGCGACGTCGGAGAAGGGTTGCAGTCGACAGATTGCCGCGGGGACAAATAAGAGTGTATCCAGTCGCCGAACGCGACGAGGCGAATTTCGGGTAAATTGTTTCCCTCTCCCTCAACCCTATCTCTTCGGTCTTCTCGGAGTCTCTGCGGAGAAGAGGACTCTTGGTACCGTCGAATCGTCGATTGAAATTTAGGGTGCAAGCTCGCGAAGGACGCGAGTCCTTCACGGTCGTCTCTCTTTGAAATGCACTCTCTTCTTCGCTTAAATTTTCGGTTTCTCCTTCTCTCTCTCTTAGGAACAACGAATTTCGAATCACCCCGACCCAACCGCGAAGTTCGTCTCTCTCCCTCTCTCATTATTCGCTTATAAATTGCTCGTCAAAATAATGGTTAAATTAGGACTGAATCGAAAGCGCAAACTGAATGAAGAAATGAATCAATTAAAATTGAATATATGTCAAATTTTGTATAAAAGAATAAGTTAGTATAAAATAATATATATATTTTATTTATTATAATAATTCTTGCCTTTCGGCTTAGGATGGCTTCCGGTTTTATATGTATCTTTACATTTATACATAAATAAACTTTTACAAATTTTAAACAATTTCTAAATGATAAATGATAACTAATAATAATAATTCTCTGCATCTTATCTCCATCTTTGGCTTTAATGAATGAAGATTGTAAATAAGAAATTAGAAGTTAGAAATTAGAAATCACATTATAACGAAAATTGAAATTACAAGTACATATCATTGCAAATTATCCGAAAATTATCACAAATTATTACCAATTAAAATTACACTTAAAATTTATAATTTAACATTGAAGCTAAAAACTAAAAATTAAAAGAAAGACTAAAAAAAAAACCAAAAATCAAAATTCAATCAAATTAGTTAATTACTTAATTAATTAGTCAAACTAAATTAAATTAAATTATCTTATCTTAAATAACATATATATATATATATATTTATAAAATTTTCTTATCTAGAAAATTGATTTTAAATATTGAACATTCTTTTTTCTCTTCTCTCGTTAAAATTGCATAAACTACAGGAACAATCTCCGTACTTAACATTTTACATTTAAACTTTCGAGTTAGAATCCCAAGCACATCCTCCTTCGTACATATATATATATATCTGCATGATTCTCAATTCACGTTAATGCGATTTTGATTCGCGCGCAATTTTACGACAACAATAAATTAATATCCGATGAATCGCGAATTCGTGCGCGAGAACAACTTTGAGAAATTCTTTACATAATTAACGAGCGGGTGCGTGCCCCGTTCCCATCCCCCGTGTAGATTCGGCCGTGAAGAGGCGGCTGTATAAGGGTTGAAACGCGGCGCCCCGACTCGGGATGAACCCCGAAGTGGCGCGAGCGAGCGCTTTCGCGCTTTGCTACCCCTCGCGGCGAACCAATTAGCATCGTTTCATGTACGGTGCGATGTAAGTGGTCATCCGGACCCTGTGGCGTGTCGGCCAAAGAGAGCGCGGCTGCGCGTCGCAGGAAAAGTCTCGGCAAATAATTAATGCGCGCAACGCGCCATGAATAAACTTTCGGCGCATTATTTATATCCCTCTCGCCATTAATCGACCGCTCGCACGAAAGAACTAATTACCACCTTTGTGAGAAGAGGCTCGATAATGTCGTCAAACTCTAATTATAACATCGTATATATATATATATATATATATATATATTTTTTTTTAATAAACTGTTCTCGACTTTATATCATATACACAGAGTCTGTAGAGAAATTTCCAAGATTTGTCCAATAATTTTCAATGACATTTATTTTTTTAACCAGATTAGTAAATAAATGTTTAATAACCCGCGCGTGGAATTGAAATATTTATTTTAAAAAGGGGAAATTTATGCACGGATATTACGCGGCGGAGATTTTTGTCTCGCGGCGGAAGAAAATCTTTCGTCGCGAGCATCAAGCACGGTGATTGTTCTCTTTCGATCTCCGACCGGGTTTAGCGAAACCCGCTGTGTATTACATTCGCGCATGCATACTCCTCGTTTCTACTATATATATATATATATATATATATATCCATATACCTATTGAAAAGCACATCGCTCATTGAGGTGCGTTTCCATGCACGATTTTGCGGGCTCCGCCGCGCACATTACGCATCGAGAGGGAAGCCCCGATATCCTTTAAAATCTAAATCCGAGGGGTTCTCGCTCGTCATCGATCCCATTGCGAAATTTACAATGTCGATGAGCGCGAGGGATCGATTCCCTTTCTCGCGGATGTATCTGTTGCCTCTCAAAGAAGATCGATGCCTCTAATTCGCGAATAATTCGAACATTTGTTTAATAAGATCTTTTTTTCTCAGATTAAAATAGAATCAGGTCGTAAGATTTTCCTAAATTACCTATTGTACAATTATTTATTCATTATATATATATATATAATTACATAAAATATAAACTCTTCAAGATTCAAGAGCTAGTCTTTTTTTTTCCAGAGAAAGCTTCAGTGTATCAAGTGTCAACGGTTATCGTAAGATAAAGTTCCGAATTCCGTCTTCCTTTTATATCGTTGACGGACGAGCCGCTCGGGGGATTCTTGGCAAATTGTATGGCGCATATACACGTGAGTTTTTCAATTCCATCTGGCATTAGAGATCGGCGTGCTGGATCCAATCCCTTCGCGGTGACGTGCAAACACGTTCCGGATACGCGCGCCGAAGAGATACACCGGAGAGTGGAGGAAAACGAGCGCATTCATATACGCGGGGGAGAGAAAGATTCTCTTTCCCAACCCCCTACCATCCCCTTCTTCGCCTATATATCTGTTTTCCACTTTTTTTCCCCGGCAGGGCTACCGCGAGAGAACCACCATCAGCCACCCCCGGCATTACTCTCTCCTTTTTAGCGGCGCTCTTCTCTCTCTCTCTCTCTCTCTTCTCTTCTCACCCTCGCGCGTTGTTACTCTATATATATATATATATATATATATATATATATATATCCGTCTATATCTACCTCCCGTTTCATTCTTCGCGCGCGCGAATGTTTCCTCCTTTCCTCCCTCCCACCTCTCGTCTTTGCCTCGAAATGTGGCATTCAACAGGGCTTCCACGCTGCTTGCGGTGGTGCGGAATCCGCGCCGGTTTGCCGCTACGCGCGCGGACGGGGCGGAGGGTGCATCGGGGAAATGATGCGCAGATTGGCCGGATCATCTCAAAAACCACCACCCTTCCGCCTCCTAGCCCACCTCCTCCTCCTCCTCCTCCTGCGCTCCGCACCATCGTCCTCTTTCATCCCCCGGTCGCTCTCTCGCACCCTCGTCGCCGACGGTCGCCAAGGGATGGAATACAACCCCCACCACCGTCGCCGCCGCCGCCGCCACCGAACAACCATCCCGACTGCCACGCAGCCGTCGACGACGAGTGACTGAGTCCTCCGATTATTATCTCATTTGCCGCCACGGCCAGCGCAGCACGCGGCGGATTCGGAACACCACCAGGGATCCATAGATCGTCGTCGTCCCGGGCGAGACCGGTGGATCGTCGTGGTCCACGGAAAACGGTGTCGTCAACTTCGAGGACCTCGTCGCGTGTGCAGGTGAGTGCGACTCTTCTTCGCCGCGTGCCATCGAGAGTGACATCGCTCGAGATTTCGAAGTTAGACGCGAAATTATTAATCTGGTTTTTTTGGGGGAATATATTTGACATTTCTCATTTATTTTATTTTATTTTTTATTTTTTTTTCAAACTTTCAGGGTTGTTTTTTAATTAATTTTTTTAACGCACGAATTGATATTTAGTTAAAATATTGAACTTGTGTGGTAATAATTTTTTTGGCGATTATTTAATTAAATGGGGCAGCGGTTTCTTTTTGTCTCAAATTTAATCGAGTGACGTTCCTTTCCTCGCGAAGCGATGCAACACTCTCTGTTGCACCGGAGCATCTAATGATGTTGCGGTTGCACCGCTTAACTGGTCATTTGCTTCCCGTTAAACATCTGTCGTGCGTGTCGCATCTGCATGATAATCAGGATGATCGATTTTGCAAACACGCTGTTTTCTTTTCACCTACGATACAAGAATGCATAAATGTCGCGATGGCCGCAATCATTTCATTACGTGACCAATCATTACGCCTGGGATTAGATTATAGTATTACAAGAGTATAATAATCTCTTTCTTCACAATCATTTTTCACATCCTCTTTCAGTTTACGAAAGATACTTTATTTTCGATCGAACAATAAGTGACATTCGGGTATCATTTTCGTATCATCTCTTGAAAAATAAAATGTCATCGATGGACTCTGTCTAAGATCAATATTTGTGTATCCATTTATTTATTTCGTTCTATTATATTTGTCAATCTGTAGAACTTTTCTCTGGCGTCCTGCGGCAGGGATTTTTCTTTTTGAAAGGCGTTGAATAAATAATGTTGGGGTGACGATAACAGTAATAAAGAATCTGTCAAAAGCAGCAGACTGCTAAAGTCTGCCAAAGTAGCGGAGGATCGTACAGTGTCGGACCGTGATTATTTCTCGGAGGATCGCCGAGCTTCTTTCCGGAGAGTCGTTTGGCGGACGCATTCTCTTCGCGTGACACAGAGAGCAGGATGTTTGAATTACGCGGAGAGTTCAACCGTAAAAAAAACCTTCCAGATTCTGCTGCGACCGACGGCTTTTTCTCTCTATGCAAAACGAGAAGATTTTGCCGCGGGAGCGCCTCGCAATAAAAATATTTATGCGGACGCGGTAAAAGAATCGCGCACATCTCTCTCTTTCTCTCCTCGAAAAGAAGTTTTAAAAAGTGAACTATCCTACTGTATATAAAGTAGGTGAAACGGAGAATTTTTAACGTTCTTCATATACTTTAGATATAGTGCCGTTAATTAATTAAGAAACGACTTGTATCGAAAGCACAAATCTCGTAACGAGATTCTTAAATATATAAACCTGATGACAGATTCGTCGGGGAATTTTTTTATTTTATTCGGGAGGAGTCGAAAAAATAAATTCTAAAATTTAAGTTCCCCAACGATAACAGACGGATATTTTTGAAGTATCTCGCGAATGTTTATCCGTGTATTTATCGAGGAATATTTTGGGGGAATTCTTTCTCTCTCTCTTTCCCCTTTCTTTCTTTCTGAAATAATATTTAGACAAACAAACTGTAGAAAAATATATAAAAATAGTTAGCGACCGAAAGCATCGAGGACACAGATTACCTTGGGACGGAAGAAACGCGCGGCCGCGACATACGTATATATAACAATGCGGAATAAAACACACGGCCGCAATCGAGTGACGACAATTGTATCAAAATATTTCTTTTACGAGAATTTTTATAGGAAACAGCGCGATACGCGCCGATGGAACGAAAAATACAAGTGTCACTGGCGATCTTTGAAACGAAGATAACAATGCAAGACTTTACACAATGGTAGCATATATAAATATCGAAAAAAGGATATTTAATTAAATTACATTGAACGAAATGATGAATTGTTTGTAAGAGTAAGTCTTATATAGAATAGACATCAAGAATAATATAACAAAAAAAAGAGGGAGCAAAAATATATTGTTCAGTTGAACGAAAGGAGAAATTCAAATAAGAGAAATGCTTCATTATTTGATATGCTTTGCATCTCGCGATGGAGATAGCGACGATAAAGTGAATGCCGAAAGGAGGTTACACAGATGGAAAGAAGAGAGAGATAGAGAGAGAGAGATGCAGGAAGTGAAGGGTATATATGAGCGAGGGAGTAGCCGCGGAAGGTGCAGGGAACCGAGCGGAAACGGGGGTATGGCAGGCCGATGCGATGGAGAGGTAGAGCAGCGCGAATGCAAATATTCGCAGCGACAGAGATTGAAACAATCCGCCAATTAGAATCGTCGACGCGAACGGGATTATGCAGATTCGCGCCGCCCGCCTGGTGGCGGAACGGCTCTCTCTCCGGCTCCGGCAGCTGCCGCAGCGCGAGCGAGCGAGCTTAATTCAATCCGCCGAGTTGTCTTATGAATCGTAAACCGGCCTCCCTCGCGCGCCGCGTGAAACCGAGATTGTCTCTCCACGGGGACGACGACGGCAACGATGACGACGACGGCGTCGGAAGGTGATGCTGCGCGCTCCGTTCGCGGCGTCGCACACTTCAAGCGGAATAATAATGTAACGCCAGCCCGTAAAGTTCGCTTTACGGTCCTTAAAATAGCCCCCGAGCCCGGTATCATTGTCCTCTAAACGAGTCATCCCCGTGCGCGCGCGGGGGAAAATCGCCCCGGAAACGCTTCCGCTTCTGGTGAACAGCTTCTTCATCGTCGGTCTTTCGCAAATCCAGGAAGAGTCCGAGGATTTTATTTTCTTCCTTTTTTTTATATAAAAATTAATTAATATAAGAGGGAAAGAAATTTGATAACTATATATCTTAGTTGGACTTTTTCACGATTAAAATTATAATTTTTTATATCGTTGAAGTATAGCTGGAGAAATTTCGCGATATACATCAGGGGAAGAAGTTGCGGTCTCGTTCTTCTTGATGGTCGGTTTTTCGGAAAATCAAGAATGCTCGGGAATTTTATTTTATTTTTCGCGTCCGTAATTTTTCTTTTAAATAAGTTAATAATAAGGGGGAGTTAATAATAAGTAGCTCGAAAAATTCGTGACACATCAGGGAAAGAAGTTGTGGTCTTGTCCTACTTGATCGTCGATCTTTCGCAAATTCAAGAAAAATCCGAGGATTTTATTTTTTATTAATATAAATAATTGAATATAAGAAGGGAAAATTTTTAATAGCAATATCTTTTTAATTGGACTCTTTAATTCATGATTAAAGCTATCATTCTTTCTGTTTCTATATCGTTGAAGTGGCTCGAGAAATTCTGCGAGAGAAGTCGCGATCTTGTGTTCTTGATTGTCGATTTTTCCCAAAATCAAGAATGTGCCTGAGGATTTTATTTAATTTTTGCACTTGTGGCGATTTTTAAAAAATAAAAATAAGTAAATATAATAGGGAAAAAATCGATAGCAATATCTTTTTTGATGATTAAAGCTATAATTTGTTTGTTATACGTTGAAGTAGCTCGAGAAATTCGTGATAAGGGAAAGAAGTCGCGGTCTCGTCCTTCTTCAGCGTCGATCTTTCGCAAATTCAGGAAGAGTCCAAGGATTTTATTTCAATTTTTTTCAATAAAAATGAGTAAATATAAGAGGGAAAAATTTGACAGCAATATCTTTTTCGTAATTAAAACTATAATGTTTTATACGTTGAAGTACATAGCTCGAGAAATTTTGCGAGAGAAGTCGCGATTTTGTATTCTTCTTGATTGTCGATTTTTCTCAAAATCAAGAATGCCTGAGGATTTTATTGAATTTTTCGCATTTGTGGCGACTTTTAAAAATAAAAATAAGCAAATGTAAGAGGGAGAAAAATTGATAGCAATATCTTTTTTGATGATTAAAGCTATAATTTGTTTGTTATACGTTGAAGTAGCTCGAGAAATTCGTGATAAGGGAAAGAAGTCGCGGTCTCGTCCTTCTTCAGCGTCGATCTTTCGCAAATTCAGGAAGAGTCCAAGGATTTTATTTCAATTTTTTTCAATAAAAATGAGTAAATATAAGAGGGAAAAATTTGACAGCAATATCTTTTTCGTAATTAAAACTATAATTTTTATACGTTGAAGTACATAGCTCGAGAATTTTGCGAGAGAAGTCGCGATTTGGTATTCTTCTTGATTGTCGATTTTTCTCAAAATCAAGAATGCCTGAGGATTTTATTGAATTTTTCGCATTTGTGGCGACTTTTAAAAATAAAAATAAGCAAATGTAAGAGGGAGAAAAATTGATAGCAATATCTTTTTTGATGATTAAAGCTATAATTTGTTTGTTATACGTTGAAGTAGCTCGAGAAATTCGTGATAAGGGAAAGAAGTCGCGGTCTCGTCCTTCTTCAGCGTCGATCTTTCGCAAATTCAGGAAGAGCCCAAGGATTTTATTTCAATTTTTTTAAATAAAAATGAGTAAATATAAGAGGGACAAATTTGACAGCAATATCTTTTTCGTAATTAAAACTATAATTTTTTATACGTTGAAGTACATAGCTCGAGAAATTTTGCGAGAGAAGTCGCGATTTTGTATTCTTCTTGATTGTCGATTTTTCTCAAAATCAAGAATGCCTGAGGATTTTATTGAATTTTTCGCATTTGTGGCGATTTTTCAAAAATAAAAATAAGCAAATGTAAGAGAGAGAAAAATTGATAGCAATATCTTTTTTGATGATTAAAGCTATAATTTGTTTGTTATACGTTGAAATAGCTCGAGAAATTTGTGATACATCAGGGGAAGAAGTCTCGGTCTTGTCACTATGCAATCGCAACTTTGACATGCACCGCGCGATACGGATGGACGGAATTATGGCCGCGGCGTTAGAACGGCGCGGCGCGGCGGCGGCGGGCGCGTATTTATCACGAAGAGTAAAACTGACAGCAGTCCATTTCCCGTTCGTCCTGCCTGTCTGGCTGAACATAATATCTCCTGACGAAACAACGTGGACGCCGTTTGTTTGGGAAACAATGGACCAAAACAATGCCCGATCCCTCTCTCGTTTTCTCTCTCCCTCTCTCGCCCTGGACGCGCGCGGATGCACGATTCCACTCTCTGTTTTCCACGCCCCGTTGCTCTTTGGTCTTTCTGTGTCGAGATCCTTCTCAGGAACCTCTGTTTTCTGCCACGAAGAAAAATCTCTGCGATCGCGATCGCAACAATTTATGTTTATAGGAGTCGTCGTCAATTTTATGATTACGGTGATCATTTCTGAGAGAAAATTAAAGACTAACTTGACAATTTTAGGACTTATATTTCTGAATCAGTTTGCGGCCAAACTTAAGATCTTTTCGTACAAATTCTCATGTTAATACTGCGACATTAGACGTTAAAACGCTGAATAAAAATAGAGAAAAATTGATGTTGAGTTTTGGAAAAATGAATAAATCTAAAAGCTACTTGAAGTAAAGGACTATCCTCTAAAATAAAGGAATGGTCACCCTAATTATGATTGGCAAAATTGGAAAGCTGAAAGCTTCTCCAGATTGTCGCTGCAATGATTGCTCGCTGATGAAACAGCATACACGACAAAATAATAATTTTTTTAATATAATATTTTCAATGTAAACGTTCGAATCTTGCGAAAAGATTCCTCGGATGCTGATATCTGGGTCGACTCGAATCCGTCGTCGCGAGAAATTCTCGGCAGCGGTGAATTCTTCGCGAAAATCCTCGCACTCGGGCGAGACCGAACGTGTACTTGACAGAAATTAGTATTCCTTAATGGATGACGCGATACCCCAGGCTCGATTATCATCCCACTGTAGACGTTCGCTCTTCCTTGGTCTTAGACTTAAGGCCGGGTGCTATTCAATTAATTTCAGGAGACAATAGTAGCTCACTTCCACATCGGCGAATCGTGCTTGTACCCTCTTCGTACACAGTCATTACATCACCAAGCCCATGCTATTGTTCACAGAATATTCTCGATCACTTGTGTAAGAAAAGCGAAATACGGATTCATGTTCCCACGTTTTTTAATCTCTTAAAACTCATGAAAAATCTTTTTAATCGCCGTACAAGATGCTGGAAGAACATCATTTCAAAGTAGAAAAATATATTTCCTTCTATTATAATAAAATTGCTATAGACACTAAACATTATACTATACTAATAAAAATTAGGTGAAATTCAAAATTAAATAATAGTAATAAAAATATGATTAATAAATAGGCAAAGCGAAGAGAAAAAGTTGCTGAACGAGGTGAAGAGAGTTGGTGAACGCTCAGAGTTAGACAATTCTTCTGTCACGAATAATTACTTAAATTAATCTAAACGACGAGATAATTCCACGTTACATAAAAAATCTGAGGATTTATTCCATGTCTTTCACTGACCTCAGCCGCCAAAATGACGACGACCACGGGTGACCCGTCGACTTTGAAGACCCCGGCCTCCCTGTCGGGCGGAGATCTCGTTTCTCGTTTGCTGGCGGCTACTCCTCCGTATCTGTACAACGTGCCGCTGACGCCTCACAGCTTCTTCTTCAGCGAAATGTTGCGGTCCTTCGTCCAGGCCAAGACGGAGACAACGTCGACCAATAGCGGAGCCGGTGGTGGAGTGTCAAACGCGTCGCGACGTCGCAAGAGATCCTGGCGAGACGCCCGCGACCGACCTCTCGAGCTGACGACGAAGGAACGGTCCCATCATCATCACCATCACTATCACCCACATTCGGAGACCAAGTACTACCATTCCACGGCGCAGCAGCAGTCCACTCAAGTGCCGTCGGAGACTCGCTTGGAGAACGAGACCGGAAAGCGTCCGGATGCCTACTCCGACGCGACGTCGGACAGCAAGACCGGCGGGTTCGAGCAAAAGCCGAACTTCGGCGGCGACATCCTGAAGCCCATCGACGAGAACAAGACGGAGTTCCTGTCGCGACAGCACGGCAAGAATTTCTTCGATCACGAGCGACCGCGACACTTCGACACCCAGCCGCCGGAGAACGTCTTCCCCGGAGAGTCGCGGAAGGTCAAGCCTGAGGAGTCTCAGCAGCTGGAACGCAGCGGTAGAAGCTGTAATAATTTTGACAACGGCAGGAGTTACGAGGAGCATCGCACGAAGAGCGTCGTCCCCGGTCAGGAGATCGTGCCACCAGGTCTTCAGTTACCGGACCAGAAGAAGCTCGACTTCTCGCGCGGTCCTTTCTTGCCCGGTTTACCCGGCAGGGGATGCGAGGGCGTTCTCCAGGGTGTCAAGGGCTTCGCCGGCCTACCCGGCGGCATGTCTGGCCCGGCTGATTTTCTACCCGGACCCTTGTGGTATCCGCCGTACCCGATGCCGCAGTCTTATCCCGGCATCGATCCTCTGCACTTCTTCATAGACCTGCGCGTCTCCGGTCACATCTGGGACCGCAAGCACGCCAACGAGCGGCAGCTACCTTTCAAGACCAAGCACTGCTCGGCCTTCAGCGTGCCGCAATCCAAGGAGTACAGCAATCGGCCGTTGAATCTCACCCGCGACGAGGCCACGACGTCCAAGAGCTCGGACGAGAACACCCGGGGTACCAATTATATCTTGAAGCATCTCACGAAGACGTACCAGGATATACAACAGACGAGGATCTCCAGGACGGACACGTCGACGGAGAACGAGGAGGATTCCAAGGAAATGCAAGGTAGGAGACGCTGAAAAGAGACATTGACTCTTGCATTTTTTCAGTTATTAGGTGTTTAAGTATGAAAAGGATAAGAGCCAGGCATTTGTGTTTTAATAATAGTCACAAATAAGTATAAAGGAATTTGAAAATAATTTTGTCGCATCTATGCCTGGTTCTTACTAGCCCTCTTCATATTTGAATTTTTTTATATATCAGAGCTTCTTCGATTTGTCATTTGCTGTCCATATTTAGTCACTTTGGTCTTAATTTTCTCGTCTGGTTTTAATGGCAGTCAGGCTTAGGCAATTTTGTTTCATATCAGCGATATATATTTCAAGGTATGATAATGTTATTTTATATTAATATTGTATTAGAAAAAAATATGCTCTTTCATTTTCGCCATTCTTAGTTTATTTTATCTGACATGTTGGAAGAAGGATTATAGAATTATTATTATCACTATCTTCGTTATTTTATCGAAAGAAAGGAAGCATGATGTTCGTATATGATGAAATATTCGTGTTGATTTTCAAGCCGGCGAGGATATCGCGAAGGTAGAAGACGCTGGCAGTACGATGACGAGTTCTGAAGAGGAAAGGAAGGATTTACGGGCTCTGATCGGTCTCGAATTAGTAGTGGATTACGTGAAAGAGCCGAAGAGCGATCCGTCGAGCGAGCAAACGTCGCAAGTAACGGAATAATTTAACTAAAACGCGGCTTGCAAAGAGGGAACGAACGCTCTTTACCATTTTAATCGCTAAAATAGAGTCGTAGGGTCGTTATTCGCATTTTTTCTCTCGTTACGTCTTCAAAACTGCACTCGCGATCGTATCCTTCGTCTAATATAGCACCTCTGCCAAGGCAAGAGTCACCGAACCGCACAAGACCGGGTTGCTCCTTTTACAATGTCTCATATATTTCCGTACGATAATTGTGAGGGGAAGAAAGGAACAGAGAGAAGATATTCGCTGCTCTTCAAATATTATCTTTGTACATTTTTTTTGTTTTTTCGTAAGACTTTCTCGCGCGCGTGTACTTTCAACAGAGATTTATTTGTAAAAGTTCTCGTTTGTTCTTTACTTTTTGTTCATAAACGCTTCAAACGTCATATCGCAATACTGCAATCCTGAGACAGAATTGCTCTACTTGATTCTGTGCGTGTTGAGCGACCAAAGAGGAAGTTACAGATTATTTCTCAGCGAAAATTGAAAGGTCGTAAAGACTATCGGGGTGAAGTAGCTTCGATCCGAATTCGACAATGTGATATGTAATGTAAATATTACAATAGTATATCCCGGTGTATCTATATGTATTGATAGAAAGTACTCATTGTTGTAAATTGAACGTAATAAAAGCAATGCGAGGTTCAACTGTACAATAACTGTCTTGTTCGAGCGTCCTCATCGGCTTGCTTCCTGGTGAAATCGGCGGAAAGTTGTGATATTAAGTCATGTGCTATCGTGATTAGCAATGACGCGAAGCTCCAAGATCACTTCGCCCTTATCGTTGCCGTTCAGTTTCATCAATTTCCGATTTCCGTTTCCTTGCGGAACGAGAATGACGTCGTCCAAGTTGCCTCTTCTAATCGGACTGGACTCGGTTAATCTGTAGTACGCGATCGGTCGATTTGTGTCTCTGTTTAATTCAACGTACGGTTTATCCGGTGCGACGAGAGTGAATACCTAACGAAATAAATAGAACACGAAAAAAATATTAGCCACCGTAGCTGAATTGTTTTTAGGTGTTTATTACACCTCAAATTTAATTATCGTATCTAAATTTTAGCTATGGTAATTAATATTTTTAAGCTATAGTTTAACGAGGGAATTCTCCGTTAAACCTTAGTTACCACAGCTAAAATTTAGACACGATAATTAAATTCAGATGTAATATATAGGGACACCGAAAATTTAGCTATGGTAGTTAATATTTTTTGCGCAAACACGTCCTATCAAACTTGAATTCGCATCGAAAGTTTAGTATAATAATGTACCAAATACAATGGGATATTTTATTTATTTAAATAGCAAATAAAATAAAATGCCTAGAAAAATATTAATGCGTGGATAATATATAAAAAAAATGATAGTATATATAATATATAAAATTTATATATTGTACACAGAGACAATACGGTATTTAAGGAATTTTATAAGAGTTTCTCTGATTAAATATTTGCCACAATAAAAAATAAATTAATATCTATCACAATAAGATATAAAATACGTTCAATTAATTTTACTATGTACATATTGATATTTTTGATTGTGATAAATATTAATCGGAGAAACTTATAAAATTCTTCCAGTACTATATGGTCCCGCACAATTACCATAATTTTCAGGGTAAATTCTAAGAGAAAATTCTCTCCATATATTTAATATGCATTGCTATTCTTTTTACGATTTCCTTTCTTTTTGTCATTTAAATAAATAATTTATTAAATATATATTATATAAAAGATAAATTTTGCTATTTAGATAATGATACTTTTTTTACTAGATTATAATCATATAACTTTTTATTAGATTGTAAATATAATTTTTTCAGCTTACAATTATTCACTGACCTTTTTGGCCGGAGATACGACATTCTCATTTTCGACCGGATCTCCCGCGGAGAAGGCCAGGTCCAGATCTCTGGATGCTTGCGGCTCCACGATAGGATAAATCGCATCGTTGTTTCGCGCCTCGGCTAAATTCTCCAGATAATAAACCTTACCATCGGCATAGCTCGCAATAAAAACAATGACCACGAAGAGAATAACGTTCCTCATGTCCGATAGCAATTCGCTCGAAGATACGTGTGCGATGATAATGGAACGAAAGTTTCGGCGTCCGATGACGGATGCCGGACTCGTTAATCCGCGGTAAGACGATTATCGCGTCGTCGCGTCGTAGAAGCAATTAATTAAACATGTGTGACGGAAAAAAAGGGAATGACGTTCTTGCGTGGACGGGATTAAAATGTTCCCATTCGCGCTGATGGCACTCGCAATCGGATCTCTCTTTTACGGATAATTCCAAATGTCACATATCTTTCTGCTGAACCCTAAACGCGCGTTCAGGGATATGCATTAGAAAGAGCTATATAGCACCTCTCAACAGGTGAAATAGCACCGATATTGTGAATAATAAGCTTTCCGATGTATTTAATTTTGAGACCTATCGTAATCTTAAATTCGCTAAAAAAATAGTTTCTGAAAAATAATTTGTATTGTCAAATCGCGTATTCGCGATACACAGGGACTTGTCGTTCGTTCCTTAAAAGGGTTGAGGGTGCACACACGCGTTATTGAGGCGCGACGAGAGATTAAAAACGACTTTTTCCAAAAGGATCGCTTCCATCGCGACCGGGTAGTTGCATCGGCCTGCCCGACCATCCTGAATAATGCATGAAATTTGTTCCCCGGAATCGAATCGCGCCTCGTCACCGGCGCGGCGGCACGACGACAAGAGAGCGGGCATAAATCTAAATAATTTCAACCCTCGAATTTTTATTATTCCTATGACTACGATGGCGCGCATACACACATACACATATATACATACATACCCTGCCTCCGCGATCCTTGAATATGCATGCGTCGCGCTTTCCACACTTCACCAGGAGTGTCGGGACCTTTGTGCAACTACCCCGGCCTATGCACATCGCGTTTCTTGCATCGATGCACCCTCGTGCATACTCGTTAGCATCGCCGTTACATCGTTACAAACGTTTTACAAGAGCGTAATTCGAGGGGAGGGATTTATCAATTTTACTATTAGCATTCTCTCTCCTCCGCTTTAAGATAATGACGCATTGACGTTTATAGTTTGTATACAAAATGACAAGGCGCGTCGTTTTCAAGTGTTAAAAAAAAAATACAACGAGTCTCTCGTCGAACATTATAGATATACTGATGAAACGTGATCTCGTGTAATATTTCACTCGGGGAAATTTATTATAGCAGACATAAAATACTTTGTAGATTAAGGGGGATGCAAGAGAGTCTTAATATTTTTTCACGATCTATCAACGCATACATGTTTTATCGTAACAATTTATTTTAATCTAATACGTTCGACGACGTCGCATCCTAAAGGAAAATCTAATATCGAAATTTTCCGAGAAGTCAGTCATTACTCACCCGGCGGATCGCGATAAATCACAGAAGGAATTAACGAGCGGCGAAGATGACACTTGGTCCCCTTCCTCATCTCGTCCTTTTCCTTCGCTGTTTCCAGCCCGGCCGGTGAAATATAGCCGGCAACTTTTCTCATACTTGAGAGTTTTCCTCTACACGAAGAACGACGAGCGAAAGTAGGGGGGAAGTTATGAAGTGGTCGCGAGATGAGTGTTATAACGTAACACCGCGAAGACGAGAGGAGGAGAAAAGGGACGATACATCTGTTCGTGAGGTTGGTATCAAGAACGATCAAGAGGACTTTTCGCAAACATTATCACCTTCCTTCGCAATTCTCCCCTTCAAAAATTATTATTCACGTCATCGCTTTAGAATCTACGAGATAACGTTTTATAAATTATCATAATTGAACATAAAATCTGAGAAAAATGTATGCGCTCCGTGAAACAATCGTCTAACAGATAGAATGTGCTTTTTTATAATAAAAATTTAAATATAATTTGTGAGTTCTTAATGGGAATTATATAACGGGAAAGAGAAAGAAAAGGAAGGCAATATAGTTAATTAGCTAAGAATAAGGGTCGAGATTCGCCATGCAAAATAATTGTTTCGTAGATTTTTATTAGTTTGTAATACTGCGCACGACTTTTAATATTTTAAACTATTTTCACTAGTATAGAACATACGTCGCGTAACAATTTTATTTAAAATTATGATACAGCATTTCTACTATTTAATTTACATGGTTAATCTTTACAATCTTTACTAGGACCCTTTCTCTAGGATTCGAGATTAAATAATACATAATGATATACATATACAAGAGACATGTTCAGTCCATGCAGTCAACAATGATGCAGTCACGCGCATTTTACGAAACAGAATGAAATTAAATGTCGTTCCATATTTGTCATAAATCAAGAATTTGAAACTTATGGTCAAATTAAAGACAATATATTTAAGAAAAAAATTTCTACGTATTGTATATGCGTGGATGCACATGAGAAAATACTCAACAATATTCAATATATAGAGTCCGATCGTAAATTTACACCGAAAACGCACATACAAAGAGTCGCTATTTTCTACCATCTGTTAATATTGTGTATGCACAGTCTTGTATTGCGAGCGTTATTTAAGTTCCTCACTTGCAGTTTTTTCGACGAAAAAAACTTATCTCATTGATGGATGAAATGCAGTCAGTATGGCTAAATAACGCTCGCAATACAAGACTGTGTATACACAATATTAATAGATGGTAGAAAATAGCGGCCCTTTCGTGGACGCGTGAATTCTACGAGTATTTGGCAGTTTCGATTTCGATTTACGAAGCGTCTGCCATTTATTTGGTTTGCGCACTAACCTTCTTACAAATTTCATTGGTATACTCGCTGCATTTTGCAGTACCGCCTAAATCACCGGTCAAATACTTGGCTTCCTTTATGGTATCGTAAGCAGCTTGCTCGATTATTTTCGCGTGGTTGTTGAGGCCCATATGCTTGAGCATCATTACCGCAGAGAGCAATAACGCCGTGGGGTTTGCCTTATCTTGTCCGGCAATATCGGGTGCCGTTCCATGTACCTAGAAAATAAATCGAAAGTACAGTTGTCGCGTGAAATATGATTAATAAAAAAAATTAATGTAAAATTTATTTGCGTTTTAGTAATAATAACTATACCGATTCGAACAAAGCTCCATTCAAACCGATGTTTCCACTCGGTGTGAGACCGAGACCTCCAACGAGACCGGCACACATGTCGGATAAGATATCTCCGTACAAGTTAGGCATAACGAGCACGTCGTATTGACTTGGATCCTGCACCATATTTAGGCAAACTGTGTCCAAGTACTTCTCTTCGAACTTGATTGACGGGAATTTCTGTGCGGCTTCTCGACAACACCTCAAGAACAAGCCGTCCGACATTCTCATGATATTCGCTTTATGTACAGCAGTAACCTATGAAAAGATTTGGTCAGTCCAATTTTCTCCTTTTCTGCATTTTCATATACGTACCTTTTTCCTATTATTGTCTGTAGCATATTGGAAAGCAAATTCTGCTACCCTGAGAGAAGCCTCTTCCGTGATTAACTTAATGGACTGTACAACACCTTCTACGATTTCGTGCTCTATACCCGAATATTCACCTTCTGTATTCTCTCTGATAGTGACGACATTGACATTATCGTACAACGTCTTGTACCCCTCTAATGATAGACATGGCCGCACATTGGCGTATAAATTAAATTCCCTGCAAATATTTGCAAATAGATAAGTTAGACAGATAAAATGAGATACATGTGTATTTATCTCTTAGAATGTAAGGTAAATAGTACAGTAGATATGGTGTGAACCATTTACAGCAATCGCATATAATTATCAAAACATTGTAATTATGTAATCATGTATATTGCAAGATACAGTTGTGCTAAGATTCAGTCAATATTCTCGCCCAGTTAATTTTAACTACATTTAATTACATAAGAGAGAACCATGGACTTACTTTCTGAGTGCAAGATTGAGAGATCTATGACCTTTCCCTATCGGAGTCATCAAAGGTCCCTTCAAACCAATTTTATTCCTATTGACAGAGTCGATGGCCGCTTGTGGTATACCAAACTTGCCATCCGGACCCTTCACTGGTGTCACATCAACTGATTCCCATTCTATTGGAACCTGTTATTTTTATATAAATTTTTATAAAAAAATAAAGAAATTTATGTATGTTAAACTTAAATATTATTATTTATATTATAGTTTATATCACATCTAAACTGAACATCAAGTGTTTACAAATTTAAAGATATAAATTAGGTAATCATGTTATGCAATTCAAACTGTCTGATTGTTTTTATTTACTACAAAAGATAGCTTCTCTCAATTTTGTGGATTTTTATAGTAGAAAATATATTTATAACAATTATTAATATTTGAAATATTTCAATAAGAAAAATTGATTTTTTCTGGTTATACAAAATATTCACAACGTAAAAATTTCACATAACAATTCACAATTTATTACAGAGAGAAGTATATGAAATGATTCTGACAATTGGATCCAATTATGAAGGGTAAGATTTAAATTAACGCCTCGACGCAATAAATTGGTCACTTTATGAGTACAAATTGCAATTATTCCATAATCAAGCGTAAAATGGCAGCACAGGAGTGTGTCAAAGCGCAAACACCATATCTCACCTTGCCAGCCTCGAAGATTTTCTGCACTGCAGCAGAGATCTCGGGTCCAATACCATCTCCAGGGATCAGAGTGCATTTGTGTACCTGGCTGCTATAGAGCCTCGCACCAGTGAGTTTTGAAGAGATCTGTTAGCATCGATATACCATTAAAAGCTGAGAGATGATAAAAAGTACCTCTAATAGCACAACATATCCGAAAGATATTCAGAGAATATCCAGAGGACATTCGAACATCCTCAGGATGTTCTCTGAACGTCTTCGAGGTATGTGTGTTATTAGGGGCAGAAAATTGCAATGAGTCCAATTTCGCGCGCGCGAAAAAAATTGTTGATTTAAACAATCGCGGAGATCTCGATTAAAATCTCCGATTTCACAGCAGAGAGGAGAGGATGGTCGGCAAACAGGGAAGGTTGTTACGGAATTAGAATGTTGAGCTATATCGCTATCGAAGATAGCAGCAAGATATATGTATAGAGAAGAGAGAGAGCGAGAGAGAGAGACAGAGGAATGGCGCAGAGCAAAAGCGAGACGGAAGATCGGTGCGTGTGATGCGATATCCGCGAGGAGTTCTAACCTTGCTCGGAGCTGTGGAAGGACGTGTAGAGGCGGGCGGGATGATGGTTCCTCGTATAATTTCGCGGACGACGTGACTCGCGGCTCGCTACTTACTGCTGTGCGGATCCACTGGGCTGCCATCACCGGGCGGGAAGAAGAGATAGCGAGAAAAAAAGACGTACAATTCGCGCTCGCTCGCGATTCGCTCTGCACACGGGGAGGTCGGCAGCGGCAGCAGCGAAGAGGCACGTGACGTCAGAAGGAAGGAGCGCGCCGCGTCACGCGATTGGCCCGGCCGACGTGACGTCACGAGACATCTTCTGCTGCGACTCGGGGGTGCGCTCGAAAACTTTCTTTTCGTGGATTCCAGCGGGTGTCAATCGACCAATCCGGACGAAGAGTCCCTTCTTCTGATTGGTCAATTGAATGGGAGGATCTTTAAACAAAGAACACACCTTGTCAGCGCGCGGATGATGACATTTGCTGACATTTGCTGTCTCAGGTCTTTAAAAATGAATAAATAATATATGTGCACTCGAATGACGATGAAGAATGTTAAAAATTCATTCCGGAAGTGCGTTTGAAATGCGTGAAAAATGTTAGACATAATTTATACGTATTTGATAATTGTAAATGCATTTTAATAATTGTAATATCAATTTTGTGAAGGTATAATAATTTAGATTACATTTTTTTAGAGGCAACACGGAACGTTTCGCGATTGTTGAAGCAGAGAGAGTCTTTTCTCCGCTTTCTGGTTGAAGAAAGCGAGTTCGATATTTGTCAAGCGAGGTAACATCCGGTGCGACTAGCAATTTCCGGCGACGGCCATTTTATACGACGCTCGATGTACATCCGATCATTCGATGTACTTTTAACAACTAGTTTGTAAGATCGTGTTTAAGAGTATTCGCGAAAACCGGCTCTCGGCAAAATGATAAAGACGGAAGAGTAAGTACGACACTTTCCGGATCGATTGCGCAGTGAGATCACACGTTTAACCCGTCCGCGAAATTGTATGTGCATGTGCAAACCGCGAGATCCGAGATGCAACGTAGCCGACGTATCAATTTTGACACAAACATCACGATGAGATTAATACGTTTTCGTATATCTCCTCCTTGACATTTTACAATACTTTAATTCTACGGCCATTGGCATAAATGCATCATAAAATTCTATCTTGATCTTACTCCTTTACTCTTTACACTTATTTTTTCTTACATCTTCATCATACGTCTTTTTTTTCTTATATTTGTTTAGTCTCGTTGTACTTGAGAGTGTGTGCTGTGCGGAAGATTTATATTATGTATTACAAAAAATTACTTGTATATGTGTGTGTTTGTGAGCATATATATATATATCTACACATACACAATAACTTTGCATATGTGATTGTAGCAGTCAAGCACAGAATAATGATGACAGAGACAGAAGCAGAGAGCGTGACCGTAATCGAAGGTCAGACAGACCAAACCGTATAAACTCAGCTAGCCGTGATCGTAGTAGGGAGAGAAATGATCGCAGTGGCAGAAAAGCATCTGACAGACGGATTTATGTATCAAACATTCCTTATGATTTTCGCTGGCAAGATTTGAAGGATCTGTTTAGAAATGAGGTTGGCAAGGTAGCACATGTAGAGCTTTTTACGGATGAAAATGATAAGCCCAGAGGATGTGGAATAGTAGAATTTGAGGATTCAGATTCTGTTAAAATAGCAGTAGATAAAATGCATCGATATGACATTAAAGGAAGAAAGCTTGTTGTTAAAGAAGTAAGTACTGTAGTTTTCTCATTCTTATAAATATTATTTTAGTAATTTAATAAATTAATCTTATTAATTCACCTGACTTATATCAATACTATTTATACTAATAATAATTATATATTATTTTATATATATATATATATATATTAAATATAATTATAAATATAAATAATTATTATATATATATATATATATAATTTTTAATATAATAGTGCTTAATTATAATTATTTTTTTAGTATATTTTTTTATATCTTGCAGGATTTTGATGTGGAACGTGATAAGTATGGTCGTCTAGCTACTGGTCGCAACAATGATAGAAATCGAGATGACAGATTCCGAGATCCTCCGAGACCACAAGGAGGTGGAAGGCAAAATATGTCTGCACCCAGTGGTGGCGGTGGCGGTGGTGGAAGTAGTGGTGGAGGCGGCGGTGGCGGCGGTGGCGGAGGTGGCGGCGGTGGTGGTGACAATAAATTCGGAAACACTTACGGTCTTAGTACGCAATTCTTAGAATCACTAGGTATCAATGGTCCTCTGGTTACAAGGGTTTTTGTCGCCAATGTTAGTATAACACAAATAAATAGTTTAAGAAGCATAATAATAATTATGTATTGAGAAAATATGCCTTTTATTGCTTTATTTTTAGTTGGATTATAAAGTCGACGAAAAGAAGTTGCTCGAAGTTTTTAAATTGGCGGGAAAAGTATTGCATGTTGAACTGGGCAAGGATAAAGACGGTAAATCGAGAGGTTTTGGAGTCGTCGAATACGATCACCCAGTGGAGTCTGTCCAAGCCATATCTATGCTTCATAATCAACAGCTGTATGACAGACGTATGACTGTTAGACTTGACAGGGCTAATGAACCGGACATGCCACCCAAACTGCCGGAAGGTATTTGCATATTTAGCAATTTTTTAAGTAATATATGTTTATTTTTTTTTTTTTTTTACATACATTTATATATAATTTGTAACCATTCGTTTATGTTGTAATTCAGGTTTGAAGGGAATTGGTATGGGGCTTGGTGCAGGTGGTAACAGATTGTTGGACGTAGCTAGAAACATTCCCAATGTTCAAGCGAATAATCCACCGGTGGTGAATCCGATTTCGGCGCCTGTCTTAGCAGCGGGTGCTTTTGGCGCTGGCTTAAACAATGTTGTGCCTGCACAATTAGGTGAATTATACATCTATTTTCATAGAGATTAATTAAAAGCTTGAGTGCGAACGGAAGATCGCGTCTGTTCACAGCATCAGCATTGTCAAACACGAATGCCGCAGCTCTCCAGGCTAGTCTTGCCGGTGCCGGTTTGAGTGCCAATCTCACTACTAGTTCGTTGTTGAATTCGTCCCTGACGAATGAATTGGCATCCAATTTAAACAATTTCGGCGGTGGCGTAGGTAGTCTGAGCGGTCTCCAAGCATCCTTGGCTGGTGGACAAGGGAATAATTCGTTTACCCCTCGTGGATTATCGAAATTGGATAATGACATAGGATTCGGCGGTAACAACGCCTTCGGCGGTTCCAATTTCGGCAACAGTGGCAGAGATTTCGACGGTGGATTTAGCAGAGGAGACGGCGATCGCGTTTCTGGCGGTGGTGGCGGTGGTTTCTCTGGGAATCAAGGCCAAAGTGGAGGTGGCAACCGGCAAAATTCCAACGGTTCACGACCGATGTCAGATACTATCCTCATAGGCAATGTAAGTATTGTATTTGCGCATCATATATCTTTTCAATTTTTTTTGAATTTAACATTTGAATTAACATTTAGCAATTCCAAATCCAGCAATTTAACATTTAAATTAACATTATTTTTGTTTGTTTGTTATACAGCTACCTCCAAACACCACATGGCAAATGCTACGTGATAAATTTCAAGATGCTGGAGAGGTAAAATTTGCAGAAATGAGAGGTGCTGACATGGGCATGGTACGATTCGCATCTGAATGGGATGCTGAGCGTGCTGTGAGTATCCTTTTTAAAACGATATGGATATTTAGATATTTTCTTAAAGAGAAATATTTAATTGCGTGAACATCGTTTATTTTTAATTTTATAAATTGCTATATGAAGTTTAAAGTAGAAAAGGGGTCAAATGATCATAACAATTGTCCATATATCAATCATAGATAATTACTTAGAGAAAGAAAATATTTCTGTTATATGAACGAGTTTTCCTTAATAATGATATTTAGCTATGATGAATCGATCACGCATTGATGGGAGGACGATTGATGTGCGTCTATACTAAAAAGCCAAGAGATAGTCTCGACGGATTCAAGGTAACGTTGAACAGAAAAGATCATATCGCCGAACTTTCGATGCTTAACCATAACTTATTGACGCAGCGTAAGGAAGCTGGGTGTTTGTGTGTCGTCTGCAGGATTGTTCCACTCCTGATGACAATACTCGAAATCCTAGTTATCTGGCAGAGAACTTAGGACAGTGAATGCGAAGTATCTGTCTTCAGAAGATCAGCAAGTCGTGTTTATGTGATGGCTACTCAACGTTGAAACGGTCGTGTCGACTACTGACGATCACCCTCGCATCCTTCTCTCTTTACCGTCTCTAACTTTTCGATTCTTACATTGTTTATCACCAAATTATCGTTCCTTTTTACAATGGAAGTCTTTACTCTAATTGTTCACTTCTTAAATCAGTTTTTTCTAGCGACTCGTAGTTGCTTAGGCTTAGGTTTCATGATGATCTTACTATAAGTCAGTAGGTTTCTTTTCAGTGTGTAGGTTATTTACAGTTACTACTTACAGGTTATTTACAGTAATTAGTAGCGAATCTATAGTCTGTAAGTCTTTACTTCTTAGTTATGTCATGATAAGAGATTGATCGGTTCTCCATCGTTCCGGGCTAAAGTGATGCTTCGCTCGCTTCACACAGCTGGGTCCACACCAAGCAAGGGATAGAAATCGAAAGGATAATCTTTCGATCGTAAAAATGCACTTTTAAACGCTGTAAAATCGTTATTCCCTCGAATAGCTAAGACTCCCGGCTTGCGAGATATCATAGGTACGTTCGTTTACAATCATATTTTATTATGCAGATGATCATGGACTATGTGTTGGATTTTTCATCGCATTGTTCGTACTTTCTTATACAAAACAAAAGGCAATATCGTGATGTTTGACAGGGAACAGCGTTTCGTCGTCATGATTTTTGCGAATTACATAATTTATTATTATTATTTTTTGTTTTTGCTGTACTACACTCGTATTACTGTTGCATCACTATAAACGATTTTAACGACCTAAGTGCAGCATATGAGAAATTTCCTATAGTCGCCACTTTTTAGAAATTCTTCCTCGGTTCAAACTCGCTTCGAGACTTCGGCGAACAAAACATTGGATGCCTTTATAACACTGGATGATTAAATTTTCGCTAAATTGTTCAGCGTTTTATGCACCGTAGTATGTTTACCAAAAAGTAAACTTGAAATGAAGAAGCTTCTTCAAACGTCAATGTCGATTTTACGACGTTTTAATCTTTTTTTGGTCTCTATTTTAATTGTTTCGCATGCAATGGACGGAATCGCGCTTTTGTAAAAGTTTCCGGGATATTTATTATTTTTGGTAAACATAACTCTTCTCTCGCCATGTAGATCTCGAGGAACATTCTGTGCATTGTATAATTACTCTTGTATAACCACAGTCTCAGTGATTGAATAAAATCCAAATCCGTTTTGACTAAAAAAAAAAAAAAAAAAAAATATGCTGGTCGTTGTGTTTTATTTCTGTGCTGTTGTATGAACTTTTATTACAATGTTTTTAAACGGCGTGTCACTCTTGTGTCGGTTCGGATGGATCTTGTCAAGTGAGTTCATCACGTGTTTAAATGTAACGCGTTTGAAGAAAAGCAGACAAGAAACAAGTGCTCCATAAACATGTTACATTTGAATACGGATACGAGTCCATTCGTTTATCAAGACATCTTTAAATACAGAGATCTCCCGATTATCTTCCGCATATTGGGACGTCGATAATCTGCGCAGTGGGGAAAAAATGCTCGTTCACACATCGCAGGTGAGATACTTTTTTCAGAAGATTTTCTTCTCCGAATTTCCAAAGACGTTCCGAGAAGAAGAGAGAGAGAGAGAGAGAGACGATTATCTGTCCCCGATTATAGCAACACGATTATTTGTTCTGTTATTAAAGATGTTTATTAAAAGCAATTTAAAAGCAAAATTTACCAGAATCTATCCGTATGTAATGTTGTCAACAAAATATGTTCTTCGTCTCCAATAGTTTTTAATGGAATTTTTTATATATGGATGAAAATGAGCTGGATCGATGAATTTTAATAGAAGGATGACCGAGAAAGGGCTGATGTTAACACGGGATGTGTGATTTTTCGTCGGTTCTTCAACGTGGTGCGGGTGATTCTGTGTGTTCTGTGAACTGTAGAATTATGGACGAGATCTTCTATGCGTATCGATGATTTGTATTCAATTCCAATGTATAGTTTTTGTTACAATCTCTGTCGATCTGTCGATCGCATGCGGAACTTTGCATCTTTCCAGAGCTTAAACATAATAATTCTAATGGTAAGTGTGTGTTCCTGAACTTCTCCGACGTTCCTGCAATTGGCGATAAAAAAATATGCACACACTGGTATTTTTTTAATGTCTGAATCATTCCACATCGGCGTTTAAATTAAATTTCCACGTGTTCGAGGAGAGATGTGGCTTTGTCCTTTTTTTTGTTATTATTGACATTATGACGCTAGTCAGAAGGCTCTGATATATGATACGAGAGTTGTCCTATGACCTTGTTTTATTCTTTGAAAAGTGAATTTCGCACTAATAAATCCGCCGATTTAACAGGGATCAGGAAGTGTTATTTGTTCAATATATTTATATATTATATTTTATAATAAATATATATATTATATTTTTATATAAATATATATATTTATCGCAGCAAATAACTAATTTAATATTTCGCATTACGAAAGCATTTTTTTCTCCATAAGATAGTGACATAATATATATATATATGTACACATTATCGTATAAGGAATACTTTTATTACACCGGGATATAAATACAATGTGGATATCATTAATTATTTCCACAGGTCACGATCGAGAGACATCTGTCCCAACGTGACAAGTCAGGTAAGTTTTAACAGCCGACAAATAGTCACGCAAATATGTTGTTCTTCCAGGAAAACTATCGCGAGCGACGTCGAATCTTGCGGGACGGTAAGTTGCATAGAATAGAAAAAAAGCAAATTATCGAAATCATATTTTTACACTTGTATTTTTTTAACTTTATCTATCTTTTTACATTATAAAATAGCTTTTGGTATATGAATTAAGTGTAAAGACACTATCTTCGTAGAGAATCGTAATATAACATTCTAGTGTAATATAACAATAGTAAAGTCAATGATTTGGACGCGGTGTAAATGTCAGTAATAAGTTAAATGATTTGTGAATGTAACATGTAAAACCTATATAAAATCGCGCATCCGGATACGTACGGACGATTTCGTATAAATTCGTCTTTATAGTGTAAATAACAACCGTGTTCTCTCGCGTTTAATAAAAAGATACTTCGTTTAAGTAACATCGTTCAACACCTCGAAAGCAAAAGGCACCTTTGAACATCACACGCCCGTTTGTGCATATTTGGATATAATTATGTAGCGACGTGTTTCTCTATATCTGTATGGATTATCACATTTTTTAAATAAAGGCAAAGAAAAACTCGTCGCTTATGTGAATCGTCAATTCCGATTGCTCTCATTTACCCTGGGGATATTAATCGATCAAAATATGCGTAATGTGTTTCGAGGCGTGCTAGCACGAAAGATATAAACGCAACATACGGCAATTTTGTCTCGTAATCGGTTCTTTATACACAGAGCAGTATTATTATGTAAGTGTAGAATTGCATTATTCACCATTTATCAGCATCAGAAAACTTTTATTACAAATCCATGTTTTTTTTCTTTTCATCTGTTTATACAGCAAGGTAAAAAGTCATTTCTCTAAGATTACACACTTGAATTCAACGTATATTTATCGCTAAGCAATCATCAACGTATGTATGTATGTATGTATGTATGTATGTATGTATGTATAATATGGCTCGCGTAAAGGGTCTATGTATAAGGGAGAGGCCTTTAATTAGCCGACTTCGTAATAATAAAATCACAATGTTCAATATCTCCACATTCAATATCACCGCGTTACAATGCCGATGAATATTTTAACTTATTCGTAAAGATTTAAAGTCTTTCGTATCGTTGCACACTCGATACCAAAGAGATCTGTCCAAATATATCATCGACATCATCCATCTAATTTATTAATCTCAACCTAACGAAAACAATGGCAAACAAGAAATTGTTAAAAAATGACGATCGATTCTATTTTAATGAAAATATATTGCCGACCCCTAACGCAATTTTAAATAAACACAACAATAAGATAATAGATATTTAGTTGATACAAAATAACTACAAAGTATATATCAAGAAACAGTTATGAATTAAAATAAATATAAATAAGGATTAAGTTGTGTTTTGCATTAAGTAGTTTAATTTTTCCATTTTCTTTCTACGAAAGTATTTTAATATAAAAAATTATAGTCATATTTAGCAAATGATGTATGTTAACAATTCAATATTTTATTTTATTAAACAATACTTTTAATAGCGAAACGCACACACGTAAAAATACAATTTATTATTGTCTTCAGAGACATTCGTAATTCATGTCTCTTTTATTTCGAATAAATTAAGCATAAGATGCAAAGATGCCAATTGTAAAATATAAATAAAGATACCGCGCCAATTCTTTGAAGAAAATCTTATTGCAAAACATGCTTTGAATCGGAGGAAATAATTAAGAGATCTTTTTGGGATCATGTGTGCTTCATGGTACACATTCCATATTGAAAGAATTGGGAATAATCCTTTTTTATTCCGATATGGACTATATAAAAAGGTGAGTCTCGATGAATCGCAGAATGAATAAATCGTCAATTGGGTTCGTCAACGCCTCTCTATTCTCCATCGAAACTCTCGTTAAATTTCCTTATAATCAGTCAATTAGGATGAGCCCGCCGTTATTTCGATACTAGCGGTTTCGCGTCCTGCGCACGTGCGTTTACGTCTTCTTGATATTGCTAATGCATCTCGACAAAAGCGCGAAGGTGTTGGGGTACTCTACTAATCTTTTGCGTTTTTCTGACTACTCGCGCGGCGAGACAAGCGAGCGTGGTGTATTTCAGAGGATAGATCGAGTCGTAAAGCTCCTTATCGCACAACAGCATTTCGAACGTTTTGCCGTCGTTATTCACGGCGTCGAGATGCGCGCCGGCGTCGAGCAGGTCGATCGATAAGACCGGTCGCCAAGGACGTAATAGCGCAGTCAGATGAAGGGCCGTATTTCCATCATTGTCCCTGGCAGTCACGTCCGCGCCTACTCTCAGCAGAGCTTTGGTCAAATGAGGAGATGGAAATTTGCACGTGGGATACCTGCCAACCAGAGCACCGTCCTCGCTGTGGCTCAGTTGCAGCGCGTCGCGACCCTGAGAATGTTGTAAAACCGGTATAAATATTGATTGCCTTTTCCTTATTCGATAATAATTGCTAGCGGCCATTCACCTGCTTCCCTTTGGCATTTATTCGGATTAACTTATACAGCTCTTTGTGTAAGGCGATGTATTCTTCGCTACCCTTCTCTCCGGTCTCGCGTGTTAACAGACACGCCAAATGCAGAGTTATAACGAGGACCCTGTTCAGAAACGTTAGATCACGTTCGCAGGCCAGATCGCTCATTTTGTCTAACATTTGTTTTCCTTTCGCTACTTCGTTAACCTGCAAGTATATTTTTTTTAAACGCATAACGCTAAATATATCGGCGCGGATCGAGACATATTTACAGACGACGATGTCGTTTTCCTACTCACAGCTTTCTCGAAGACATTCAAAAGATCTTCTCTCTTCACCGGTGGTACTCTACGACCCCTAGCTGTCTGTCTGCCTTCCTCGCCCACCATAAAGCTAAAGAGTTCGGTAAAACTGAATAGAGAGCTCTGCGTCATAGGGTTTAGCGGCTCCAGCATGCTCTGTTGCATATCGAGAGCGTAGTTCCACAGCTCGATACAGCGACGAAATTTACCCGCATCCGCGTAAACCGCCCCGCGATATCTAATGTAGTAACTCGTGTCCGGATGGGCCGGTCCTAATATCCGTTCTCTAATCACCAATGCCTGCATGCGCATCTCATCTGGATCAGCCAACAAATCATCCAAGGCTTCGGGTTCAATTACCTCTCGAGCGAAATCATAAGCGGCTACAACGGGCGGAGATTCAGGTTTTGATATCATCGGACCATCTCCTCGATATCTGAAAAAAGACATACATATTGCAAAAGGCATACTTTTTTTAAGCGAGAGAAAGATCAAACTCATATATTTGTGTTAACAAATTTAAATTTCTATATCTATACAAAGATTCGTGTTATATAATTGAAAAGTATCTTTAAAATTATATTATATAAGAATTTCTTCAGACATTCGACTTCTAAGATAGTTCGTGGAGATGTTTGGTACGTACCTCTCGTCCATGGCTCGCTTCCAAAATTGCAAAGCACCTATCATGTCTCTTTTCTTGTCCACATAAGTTGCTCCAAGCAATTCCAGCGCATCGATGCGTTCTTTCCTGCTGAACAGCTGCGGAATGCCTATGAGGTACTCGACGATATGCGTGTGACCTGAGAGAGGGAAGTAAAAGAAAAATTTCGATTAGCATTCGTTTTTTTCCCCCAGCCGTCTAAGCGCATCACGGAGCAGATCGCTTCAGATGAGCAAAGTAAACTATCGTAGGGGAACCTTCGAGTGGTGCGTGGAACTTTCTGCTTTAACCTGTTACTGCTGCCGCGAGGAGTGGCGTCATTCCATAGGAGTCCACGTCCATCTGAGCGCCGTGCTCGACGAGTATCTTCAGTATCTCCAGGGATCCGCTTTCGGCGCAGTCGTGCAGCGCCGTGTTGCCCTTCACGGACTTGCGATTCGCGTCCGCTTTCAGAGCGAGTAGGAACTTTGCGATTTTCACGTGGCCCCGGTAGCAAGCGATCATCAGGCATGTGTGCCCGTGTCGGTTCGCCATCTCGATATCTATAAAAACAAACAAGCGTTTTAAATATTTTCTAAATAAATTTTATATATTAAAAAATATTTTTAGATAATTATATATATGTATTTTATACATAAAGATGTAACGTTTTTTATATGGAAAAAATCATGTGTGATCGAATGTTTACGTAATATTCCGTATGCATAATTTGATCGAAAATAGAATCAATTTTTGCAAATATATGTTGTTCTAAATCAAAATAAAAATCTGTACGCTTGGCTTCTTCAGACAAAGACTACACATTTCGAAGAAATTCATTGCCAGCATGTCGTCATTCTTGTTGTTCGCCGAATGTTGGACGTGATGACACGTAGATAGTAATTTTGGGAACTAAATACTATTTCAACATGAAAAATATACATAATTTATGAATTCATATTTTCTGATACCTACCTGCACCATGTTGTACTAAAAACTTAACGATGTCGTAGTGTCCGTCGAAACATGCAGCGCGAAGAGGCGTGGAATTCGTTTTCGTGATCGAATTTACTTTGGCGCCCCGTCTCACCAGCAGTTTGACCAGGGCCAAGTGACCAGCAGCCGCCGCGCACCACAAAGGTGGTGCACCCTCGATCGTCTCTCCTTCGAAGACCACTGTTTTCGGGAGGAAAAAATATTGAAAAATATATTTTACAAATAACGAATAAGAAAAATTAAATCTTCTCTTGTGCGGAAAGAATAACGATGCAAATGTAATTAACATAAATAACTGTGCATACTAATGCAGTATTGTGCAATGCAAATTGTTGCAATAGATACCAGCGTATAGTATATTTTACAATTTTTGCTATCGATATATCTGAACGAATTTTTTTCGTCGTAATTCTTCGTGAAAAATTAAATGGAAAATTTTTTAAATAGATCCCTAAACATTGCTTTTGCACTTGGGTTTGAAGATTGTTCTCAGTAGATGGATAGATTGGTTCGAACACAAAGCTATTAATGTAAGGATGACTGTGGTCTTACCTGACCCAGGCTGCTCCACGTCCGCCCCGCATTTTTCAATAAGATATTCTGCCACATCGTAATGTCCGTTCCGACATGCCATGACTAAGGGTGTTGCGCCATGGGTCTTAGCACCGACTAATTGTCCTACCTCATCTTTGCCCCGATGCTCCAGAAACACCTTTGGAGAGAAAAGAAGAAACCACAGATGTGAGACACGTGTCACTTTTATATGATACGGCGCGAATGATGTCGTAGTTGTAAAAGTAATTAATGTTTGCAGGGAGAAAGTGATACACGTACTGAAAAATTAATTGATTAAAATTAAGAATATCCACAAAACGTCGAAAGAAAATTACTATTTAATGTATTCCGTTCTCGATTAATTTTTTCTCGAGTTAATTCGAGATTGATTTCTGGTGGACTCTGTCGAGAAAAATTAATGCAATCGAACGAATCGAAGCGTTCTTCATAAACTTACGTTAGACAGTACGGAACCCGTGTTGGATAATTTTAACGAGCTAATGCGTTCGAAGAACAAACGGATGTGTCGCGCGAGATGCGTGCCGCCAGAGATTTCAAAGTCGACTGGTTTAAGGTTTGCGCGGTTTATCGTTGCAACACACACATACACACGTGAAAAACCTCGAAGGTCCGTCGAATGATAAATATTTAAATTCCAAACCCCCCCTCTCTTCTCACTCACGTGTGTCGTCCTACGTTCGTAAAATTCTTTTCTTTTCGATTATGATGATTTTTCTCTTTCACAATTCTGCCATTCAGCCTTTTTTCTGAAAACTTTTTCAATCGATATTTTTCTTCGGCGTTCTTTCAATTATTGCGTAATCATCCTCGGAGTAGAAAAAGTACTTAGATCTTAACCGATGATTACGTTGGTAATGATTTTATTTTGAAGAAGAGAATAGAAGCAATAAACAATGTACGGAGGCAAGTTTCTTGCTCGGACGTCGTCTGGAGAAGATAATATTCGCGCAAGTTATACTCGTCTTGACGTTCACTATCGGTTTAAACACCACGTGGCTGCGGCGCACGTTTCATTTAAATGTTGTGAGAGACGAGGTCCTTGCGTCACTGACACCTAAGAGACCCCCTTGTAGACTTATGAGAAGATCATGCAACGAACCGCAAAGTGACAAAAGTTTTCGCCCGTCCTTCGCAGCTACACGTGAAAAAGTAGATTTCGTCACGAGGTGCGCGAGATGTTAAGTACACCGCGATCTAAATGCTGAAGAATTTTATCATATTTTTACGCATATTCGACAATCAGATATCATCATGTATTAGGACGACGCGTTAAAATTGTTCATGAATTCGAGAGGCGAATCAGACCATCAAAAATTCGGAGCAGTCCACGCGCGCACTCGCATAAAAGAAGACTGAGCGCGAGAGCCGAACTCACAGTCTTCGGGAGAAATCATCATTCTCCGGTCGTAGTGGATGTGCGAGTCCCGTTAAATGAATAATCAGAGACATTGGGATCCATCATGACAAATGAACTGCCGCTTACGATGGTTCGCTACTGGGGGGAAAAGTGGGAGGACGATACTTTTTCACTTTGTATTTTTTCTGTCCTTTTTACCCTCTCCCTCCTTGAATCCTCCTCCTTTTCGAGAAGAAGACCTACATACTTTATGTGAAAGCCTTACTTTGCCTGTATTAAAAAGATATTCAAAAAATACAATAGATGTATAATATAATGTAACTTATATATTATCATAAATTTGACAAAAATGGATTATGTAATTCCAAAAAAAAAAAAAATATATATATATAGTTTTGAAAAAGCATTTCTATAAAATTTATCGAGATCTATTAAAATAATCAGGTAAAAGATAAATTTTGATGTTAGATTTTATAAAAAAAAGAAAATAAAATTTTTATTGATCAATTTTTATTAATAAAACTGTATATTTAATCTCGGTCATGAGACTCAATTTTGTTTTCATCGACTTCAATTTCTCTTTGCTATATACAGAATAAAGCGTTTATTTTTATAACTCGTTTAATTTTTCATCTCAATATATGAACGAGAAAACCAGTCTTTATTAGAGAGCAACAAATCTATTTTTCATCTCTCTCTCTTTATTTCGGTCGGATCCATCAAAGAGTCGGTGCCGTTATTTGTGTGACCGATTTTCTTTTTTCGTGAGCTTGTTCATTCAATTCATTCTGCTTCGACTCCCTCTGCTCCTTCACCTTACTGTCACGTTCTCGTTTGGTTTCTCGATAAAATGTAGGCAACGAGGTCAACCGATGCCGAAACGAGCTCGTAAAAGATGAGATGAAACATTCGCCTTTATTCTCGCGTTAATAGAAGATGTGCGGCTCTTTACGAGCGTCTCTTTTCGTCGATTATTTTCCACTTTAAGAGATATGCAACAGCTGCAGCGAACGAATAATCGTAGCAATATGACGGACAATCATTAACAATGACGAATGCATTGGAAAGAAACTGGTCGAATCGTTCGAATTACATGAAAATAAAAGGAGAGATGACCTATCATTGACACAATAATTGCAACTCCAAAGAACTGTAATTGCACAAAATTACGGTGTCGGATTTTTCAGCGATGTCAGCGATCAGATTTTTCGCAACTACCGAAGTAGCGAAATGTTACGTGCGATTTCAACACGCGATAAAAAATGAAACAATCGCTCTCATTAACATAGAAAGAAAGAGAATAATAAATCAATTATTCAGACATCTGTCTCGGAAAATGGGTTATAACCGACTTCTCGGGGTGTTTTTTTTCTACGGACTGTTGATCATGTTGAAGAGGATACATTTTACCATAGTACGAACGTTTCTTGCTTGATCTCTCGCATTAAGGGGATGCTGACTAGGTCTGTTTTATCGAGAAATATTATTTTCATTTAACTTTTTATTGGCTATACAGAATGACAAATCCTTTACTAGAATTAAGTATTCATAATAACAAATCTGGGTTACTATATATGCATACAAAAAGAAACAAGAGAGTTAAATAATTATAGTTTTTCTATCGGTCTTTTGGGTTGGATTAACCTAACGAAAAGAAAACTGTAAGTATTCAACTTTCTTGGTTTCTTTTTAAATATACATATAACAGCCCAGATTTGTTATTATGAATACTTTAATTCTAGTAAGGAATTTTTCATTCTGTATAACTAATAAAGAGTTAAATGAAAATAATATTTGTCTATAAAACAGACCTAAACAGCATCCCTTTAATCCGCATGAAAAATTTCTCCATGGAGACACAGCGTGGCGGCAATGGGCGCCATTCGTCGGAATTATCAACGCATCATTTACAGTTTCTATAGTCATAAATTTAACGCTAAAGTCAATTAACGCTAGGTGCAACTGCGGTCAAGCACCGGTACGCAACGGACACGGTATACATTTGTCTCGCGGCTGAATAATGCATGTATGCAGTTGTTGCAAGCGTGTAAGACACGTCCCACTTAAATTTTACGTTCGCCATTTCGAAAGGTTTAGTTTGCCTACGTCGCATTACGAGAAGTAGCACGAGTCGTAAATAGTCCTCTCCCTCCCTTATGATTCATTTACATTGTGTCGACCTAACGATCTGATAAATTCGTCGATACATCAAAGAGAGACGCTCTATCAATCTCGGACGTAAAATGGACGTAAACGTTTCGATTTTACTTTAACGTAACGACGTCGCATCAATATCGAGAAGACGGTTTACGAGCGACCGATTTTATCATCGACAAGAGGGAGAGATAATGATAAAGTATGAATGAAGAGAATCAACGATAGCAATCAACATACTCGCATAAATCACGGGTCGATAATGAGTAGCTGCAAATGAATCTCACGCAAGAATGATGTATGATGATGAGCAATTTAGATGATATTACAATATATTAACATGTTTGTTTTTATCTATAAGTTTTTGTCTCACGCTTTTATATATATATAGAATAATATAATACACACGAGCTATTTCTATGGCAGGTTTTAACAAGATATTAACAAAGTACAATATTAACAAAGTATTAACAAGTTTTATATATATATATATATATATATATATATATAAAACTTGTTAATACTTTGTTAATATCTTGTTAAAACCTGCCATAGAAATAGCTCGTGTGTATTATATTATTCTAAGCAAGATTAATTTAAATTACAAATGATTTGTATGGTTACATTTCTATCGCTAATTCTACTTTCATTCTACTTTATTATGCGTATATATTAGATATGCATAATATTATATGTACATATATATGTATATGTGTGTGCGTGTGTTTGTATGTGTAAAAAACACATGTAAAAATTCATAATTACGTAAAATAGACATTTTATGATTTAGACACATAATAGAAAAAACTAAATAAACCTTTATATAATTTTTTCATTTAGAAAGTATAGTATAGTCTTAATTATTTTTTTAAATATAATTTATAATACGATCTCCCTATTTATTGTGAGTTCTATATACCATTATTATAAAATACATTATATTGTAATTACACATTTTGATTTCGAACAAACGAGAGAAGTAAACTGACGGCCAATTAAGTTACATTAAAATTTGCAACAAATATGTAATTTATGTGGGAATGCTGTGAAAATCCTATCATGCCCGACCTCGACCGACTTGCTTCATGTGCAGTAATTAGAATTGCGCGCGGATATTCCAGAATGGCGACAAAAAGTTTCCGCGAGATAATTATACGATTACAGCATTCGAGCATTAGAAAATTACGTTCCCTCAGATAATTTCGCGCCGGGCCTTTCGTTAAACATTATTGTGTACGCGAGCGATTTATTACTACATAATTCGTATATCCGAAGACGCAATGTATACGATAAGTGCACCGATCCGATCGATAAAGATTACAAACGAGACGCGATACACAATCGCAACGATTTAGAAAATGATCGATGCCGAAATGATTATTCGTCATTATCTCTGAGAAACCTGCCGGAAAATTGGATAATGCCTCTCCACACAGCGCGATTTAATACTTTTCGCTTGGCTTATATCGGTATTCAAAATAATCGCTCGATAAATTATTAATTTCCGCTATATCGTTATATAATAACGCGGATATATTACATTCTCGCAAATACTGAGTTTACAAAAAGTTGTGGAGCGATCAATTAACTTGATGCAATTCGTTTCGCGAGCATAAATCTGGTAA